TAGGCATAGTCTATTGTTCATTGGTGATTATGAACGTCCTTTTACATTTAATTTATGAGGTTTACGTCTATGGGTGAATTTGACTGCGACAATGTTTCAAAATTAGGAAGGGAAGCAGTGATTATTTGATTATATAGACGCTTCGCCTCTGACAACAGCAAAAGACAAAAATCAAAACACCCCCCCCCAAAAAAAAAGAAACCCCCAACAAAAACATGGGTAAGATTGAAGAATACCGGACCAGCGGACTGACTTTGCCTATGTCTCAACCTTAGGAATTCATAATTTTCCCGTTTTTAATATTTCTCAATGGAGAATCTCGGACCGGTAGATATATTCATTAAAATTTTGTCAGGGGGGGGAACCCCCCTGAACCCCCACTCCACCCTAACCACCCGCCCCACCTACCCCAATAATGTGTGAGAGGTCCGGTATTCTTCAATCTTCCCAAAACATCTCTCTCTCTCTCTCTCTCTCTCTCTCTCTCTCTCTCTCTCTCTCTCTCTCCCTCGTGTGTCCTATTTCATGTAATATTAATTTCAAGTTTACGTACCATGATTAGCAAAGGTGAAAAGATCAAACAAGTCCAACAGTTTAAATATCTAGGATATATGATAACATCTGATGCCAAATCTTCCGCAGAAATAAAAAGGAGAACTGAAATGGCTAAGGCTAGTTTCAATAAAATGAGCCCAATCCTGAAAAATAGAAACATATCAATGAACACCAAAATGAAAGTCCTGAAATGCTATGTTTGGTCAACCCTTCTATATGGCTGTGAATGCTGGGCAATCACTAAAGACAGTGAACATAAAATAAAGGCAAGAGAAATGTGGTTTCTTAGGAGACTGCTAAGAGTATCGTGGAAGGAAAAGAAATCAAATGAGGTAGTGCTTGATGAAGCCCACGTGGGACGCTCAATGTTAAAAACAATCAGGAAACGACAAATGCAGTTTTTGGGACACCTGAATAGACATAAGGGTCTTGAACATATAGCTCTCACTGGCAAAATTGAAGGCAAGCGAGGCAGGGGCAGGCCCAGAACAACATACTTAGGGAACCTAAACAAATGGGTAACAGGGAAAAATCAGGGAAACGTAACTTTTCTGAGAGCATCCGAGCAAAGGAATGAATGGAAAATCATGATCGCCGATGTCTGCCACAGATCTGGCACTGGATGATGATGATGATGATGTACCATGATGGACCCTGAAAGCTTTGAAAACAAAGTTCCACTCTTCATGTTCTTCTTTTCGTCTAGTGAGGCCCGTCATCACGAAGTTACAGTTTCAAACAGGCCAGTAAAGATCTAGATTCAAGAGTGAGGACAAATGGCCATGAGAAATAGGCCTACAAAAACCAAAATAAAACTCATGTCCGCCGAAGACTTCGAGCGGGGCTAATAGCTAACTAATGAAAGCCAAACACTAAAAAACAAAACACAACGTAAACTGTTAAAGAGAAATTCCGAGTTCTGTTGACATGAATGTATAATCGTAATTATGAGCTGCTAGGCCAATAGGCCGCTTGGGAACTCATATTTTTCCTGCAATTCTCAAAATGTAAACAATCAACACGTGGCTATCTATTGGTAATGTGGAACAATTTACTATTTCGTTGAGGTCAAAGGGTAGCGTACTCGCTGCTATGCAACGACCTGAGCAACATTGAACACTTAGCCGGTATCATTCGGCAAAGCAATATAGTGCCAAACCCAACCTGTTATTTAAATAAATATATGCTGTCATTTTACCAAAACAAATTGAAAATAGAGACAAAATATGAACATTATAATTTCTACTTTGCTTCAGCAATGAGTTAGTTTCCATAAGTGAAGCGGAAGTAGAAATACTTCAATAATAGTAAATATTACTACACTCGACATATCTCGAACAAGTTAAAGCAAGATGGCGGATCTAGGATCGAGCCTAACGAAAATGGACTGGCTGCACCGACTTCGTGTCGGGGGGCCTATGGGGGGTTCAAGTATCAATGGTTCTCAAGGTACCCCCGATGCTTTAGGGAGAACACCAGTCCAAGTCGGAGGTCGAGGATCTCCTGATCTGTCTGGTGCATACGATCATTCAGGACAGACTTCGCAGAGGGATGGTAAACCACCTTACAGCTATGCGAACCTCATTATGCACGCAATCAACAGCACAAGCAAAAAGCGAATGACTCTAAGTGAAATATACGCCTGGATCTGTGATAATTTTCCATACTATAAAGATGTTGGGAATGGATGGAAGGTAATGTGTTTACATTCAGTTTTTGATCTAATCTAGATCTACGACCCGTCGAAAAAAATAACTACTCAGCACGAATGGCCGCTTATTCAGCAGTGTTTTGACTAACTGGAATCTATAGAGTCTAGAAAAGCCAATGCATTCATTGACCACTGAATGGCAAAGTTCGTTGACCTATGATGTAGCGTGCAATTGGGTGTTTGTCTCTGTTATCCTCACTGTGTTGCATAGGTTTACTCATTTTCACTGACACTGATAGTAATAGTCACTAGTGTGTTTTTTTGTCGGCAAAAGTTTCTGGAGCTTGACCGAGTAAACAGACAGATCCCTGTTTCCAGATTCCAGGAACTAGATCTAAAATCTAGATCTAGATCTAGATCTAGAATCTAGATCTAGATTCTAAGTCATTCACAGTCTCAGACTTTTCAAGATATTTTACATTCTGTTTAAATTATGGAAGTGGCTATTCTCATCCGGGGTGAGAATAGAAATACGATCGACCTCTCACCCCGGGTGAGACTTGCCACCGTAGGTTATTCTCACCCTGTGTGAAACAAGACCTGTTTTTCCTAATTTCGGAATATTTTTTATCGATGTGGATGATCAAATGGATAAAGTCAAAGAAAAGATTACGTTATAGCACAAAAGTAAGCTAATTTTATGGACTACAAAGATGCTATGGCTATTTCACTTTCCGAATCCGAAGTGGCTAGCCGTACTTAGATCTAGGTTTGGCCCTATCGACTCAAGCCTGTTAAGTACACAGGTCTTAGATCTAGATCTAGTAATTATTCAGGTTCAAATACATGCAAGTCAGTAAGGCACCTTTTGGTTTTGTCTGAAATACAAAATACTTTAGGCATTGCAAACTAAAAATTTCATTTACAATTCAGCCATCAATATTAAGTACGGCTAGACTGACAGTCTAGCCGTCCTTAAGTACGGCTAGCCTGGCTGTCTACCCGTACTTAAGTACGGCTAGACAAGAAGTCTAGCCGTACTTATCTTAGGCCCTATTAACATTAGAAAACAGGAGGTTTAAAATACATGCACTGTCATTATGGCACCTGGTTTCGTCTCAAATACAAATACTTTAGGTACTGCACACTAAAAATGTATATTTACAATTCAGTAGGCCTATTTTTTGTAAATGGTGAGTCTAGCCATCATATTAAGAATAAGTACGGCTAGACTGCGAGTCTAGCCGTACTTAAGTACGGCTAGACTGCCAGTCTAGCCGTCATTAAGTACGGCTAGCCTCTTCCTTCCGAATCGAGCCGAACTACGTACGGGGGTCGCCATTTTGTTTTGCCCGGAAGTTCTCGCAAGATCTACTCCTCCCCTCTTCTCTCTCTCTATCTCTTTCTAAATATAGATAGTCTATCGGTGTGGACGATCAAATTGACCAAAACAAAGTTAAAAAATGATGTTAAAACACAAAAGTAAATTAATTTGGTCGTCTACAAAGATGCTACGGCTATTTAACTTTTCGAATTGAGCAGAACTACGCGGGTCGCCATTTTGTTTTGCCCGGAAGTTCTCGCGCTACTCCTCTCTCTCTCTCTCTCTTTCTCTCTCTCTCTCTCCACTGCCCACAGACAAAATTGTACGCTTTTAGTAGGCTAACAGTAGTAATGGAACGTTTGTTCACGGCACAGAATTCTACAATTTTTCTGTTATCACAGTGTAGAATTTTGTGGTTTAGGGTGAACGCAAAATTAGTTGGCCTAGATCTGGGCTATAACGGTGAACGCGCACCGGGTGAGAATAGCCAAAAGACTCGCCTGCACTATTCTCACCCCGGGTGAGAATAGAGGTGGCCTTAAATTATAAGCTCACATGTCAGCGAACAGATCATCTTACCACTATTTCTCCGAACGTTCGGGAAAATAAAGCTGGGCACTATTTCTCCGAACGTTCGGGAAAATAAAGCTGGGCACTATTATTTCTGCGAACACTCTGAAATCAATCCTTTCCGCAAATTTCGGATATTATATAGATTCTAGATCTAGATTCTAGATCTATAATTATTATAGTATAGGCCTACCAAAGATTCTTCGTATACAATATATGGTTCAGTCGGTCCAAAAAATGTCCGCAGTAAATATTTATATAGCAGAAATGCTACAGTTCCAAACAGTTTTTCGCTACAGATATGACGTGTTGCTTATGAAGGATGCTGCTCTTAAACTTAATGTGTTGTGTTCACTCGTGTGCTGTCTAGATCTAGATCTAGATCTACAGAGGGTTATTGATAACGACACATAGAACTAGCATAGACATCTGCGTTTGTTGCGGCCGCGACCAATCAATCGTGGCTCGATTTTTGGGCATTTTTTTTGTCCCCAAATCGGAGAATAAAAGTCAAATTAAAAAAAAAAGAAGAAAAAAAGAAACCGAACCTCTTTACTACTTTACTTTTGAAAGAAAGTTCACCTAGCTTCAGTTCGTCTCTTTCTCACTTGTTGTCACCACGTTGATTTGTTGAATACGTTACAGTTACTTTTATTTTTCCCTCTTTGTGGTGTTTTATTTTGTTAGTGTGTATTTTTTTTCTTTCTTGTTATTGTTCTGATATGTTGTTTTTCTATCAATTTTTTTTTTGATGGGGAAAAAGGGTGGGGGGGGGGGGGGGGTTGTATAGTGTAACGTCATTTAATTTGATGTTCCTACCATCATTAGATTCTATATATATATATGTATATATATAGAGAGAGAGATTTAAATGTATTATGTTAGAGTGTACGTTCCACTGAAACCGTTCACATATGTACTGACACTGGCAGGCCCCTTAATGTGTGTGCGATTCCATAATTTACTTGTAATATCCTGTACTTTGTTTTAAAATTACGCACATTTTCTTCTTCGGACAGGTGGACTCACGCCCTTATTTGTTAATTTTTTTGGTTGTTTAGGGCTGTTTTAATTTTGATTTCATTCTGTTGTGAAACCTTTCTTTTTCACGTTTTTACACTCATCTAAGTCTCTAGACTAGCCAGACTAGCTCTTGAAAATTGAAATGGATATAGACCTAAAAATTTGCTCCTGTGTGTGTGTGTGTGTGTGAGTGTGTGTGTGTGTGTGTGTGTGTGTGTGTGTGTGTGTGTGTGTGTGTGTGTATGCATGTGCATGTGTGAGTGTGTCTGTGTGGTAGTAAGTGTGTAAGTGGAGAGTGAGGAGCGTGTGTGTGTTTGTTTTTCGGGCTTTATTTCAGCCTTTATTCAGTAACAGTTCAAAGTATACAAAAATAGAAACACATGATCCATTCACTCTGGGGCTCATGCGTTTGTTCCTCTCTTTCAGTTTCACTCATTCATTCAATTCCCGTGTTCTCTCCCACGGCTCATCCCCGTCTGCATTACTTTCACACCCCACCCCCTCCCTCCAGGCACACACAAAGAAAATCTCACCCGTTCCCCTGCACCCTGCGAACCATGGACAATAATATAGGCAAAACACTGCGTTAGCCGCATTCCTTTCGTTCGTAAGCTGTGGACCAGGCCAGGGGGGTCGGTGTCGTCGTCTTGTAGTGCTATCGCCTGTGGATACACTCGTACATTTTTCCTTTCACCTGCTCTTTCACTCACACTGTCTCTCCATCCACAGCTCAGCTCGTCATACGTTCAAAAGTTGCCCACTGATCATGTTTAGTTAATGTGTGTATAAGTTTGTGTGTGTACATGTGCATGATGGTGGTTTGTGTGTGGTGGGTGTTACTGAAGGTTGTCTGTAGGCGGGCTTGCATTGCGGTGTTCCTTCCCAGACCAGATGCAAAATGAAAGTTGGCGCCGAACTCTCGCAATAAATAGGCAAAAAATCACGAGACCGGAAGCCGGAAACCGTTCTGAGAAATAAAGATCGGCACTATGACTATTTCTCCGAATGTTCGGAGAAATATTCACTTTGTTCAATTTTTAGAGCTAGATCTAGATCTAATCTAGAGATTTTTAAATGAATATTGGGAATACTTCAGTTGTTGTTAGGGCAACGTTCCCGGACTTTACTTCATTTGAAAATACCTTCAAAAGTTACTGCGAGAAAACAAGACTGTCTGACCTTGGCAGTAACCTATTTTGCATTTAGTCACCCAGCAAAAACTAAAATCCTTCATGTAAAAAAAAAATCCCTCCACCCCTGTTCACACCTTGCACACACACTGACACACACGCACACACACATGCACACTCACACACACACACACACACACACACACACACACACACACGGGCCCCTCCATTCGCTTATTATTAACAAGTCTCGAGAACGGAAACCGTTCGGAGAAATAAAGTTCAAGTTTTTTCCCGCGAACGTTCTGAGAAATAGAGCCGGCCATAATTTTACGGTAGTGTCAATTGCCACAGAGTGACGTGGTGACAATTTACGCCAGTGTCAATTGCCACTGAGTAAATTGGAGCTCTTTTGTGTTTGTGAGTAGGTTTAGCCTGTATGTGCTCGGTGTTCTGCGTTCGTGAACTTCCGATGCTCGCCTCTCTTTGCCCCTGTGTTGTGTGACTCTGAGACAGTGAACCTGACGGAGGTGAACGTGACATACTTTAAGTCATTGTCCTGCGTCCTGGTGTGCCTTTGAATGGTTTCAGAGTGGAGAGGTGATTTTAGTTATTACTTGAGTGTTCAGTTCCAATGCAGGATGAAGAAACTGATGTTTAGCTAACTGACAGATATAGTTCTAGAAATCCAAGCCACAATCCATTTACAGTACTATGCTCTTGACTATCTTCAGCCTGCTATCTTTATTGTGCACGCCCACTTTTTGGCCCCTCCGAGCCGCCCCTGGTGGTGTGTGTGTGCGTGCGTGTGTGTGTGTGTGTGTGTGTGTGTATGTGAATGGGGTGTGGGGGCGGGGCGTGGATGGATTTTTTGTTGTTGTAAATTACATGAAGGCTTTTAGTTTTTGCTTTAGGGGTGACTAAATGCAAAATAGGTTACTGCCAAGGTCGATCAGTCTTGTTTTCTTGCAGTGCCTTTTGAAGGCATTTTCAAATGAAATATAAATCTAGTCTGGGAACGTTGCCCGAACAACAACTGAAGCATCTGATTATTCAGACATTTAAAAATCTCTAGCTCTAGAAATTAAATTTGATGCAAAAAATGCTTCTTCTCAGTCCTTGCAGAATGACAGAGAATGAAAGGTGACGCCTAAATCTCGCAAATCACCAAAACATGTCGAGAACGGAAACCGTATGTAGAAATAGAGATGAAGTTTATTTTCCAGAGTGTTCTGAGAAATAGTTACTTTGAAAAAACAAAACAACCCACGCCTACACACACACACAAAACCCCTGATATATATGAAAATTGTAGTGAGATGCCAATGGCTATTAGTGTTACTCTTATTTCATTCATTCTCTAATTTTTCATAAATCTGGCTCTTTATGCTCACTCAGTAAGCCCAGGATTATTGTTCACCTAGCTTTGGTGGTTTCTCTGATTGTCCTCTTGTGGTGCGCTTCTAATTTATTTTATACTTAGTGAACTGAGTGATAAAAAAGAGATTTTATCAGAGCAATAATGATAATAGCATATATAAGTTTGTTGGGAAAAACCAGTTGGATTGTGTGTGTAAACTGTTTTCTATTTTTATCACCTGGTTAATTGAGATTTGTTCTACTTTAGCTCGTGCTTTTTGTTGCCCGTGAGGAATAGTAATATTAAAGAAAGCATTCTAAAGATTAGTTAAAAGTGTGCTGTTCCTTGGGGTAAAATGTTTGCAAGCAGAAGTTTTTTTGTGTTGATGTGAAGGCCTGTGTTGTATTCAAGAGTGTTTAAGTGTGTGGGCACCTTGTCAATGGGTGGTGCTATTTCAACAGCATGCACTCTTAACATCGGAAGTTATCTATCCGGTATGCCGTGGTGAATTGATATTTCGATGGCATTCCATCTAAATACAGACATCATCGCCTAGGCCTACTTTCAGTAACACGCATTTATTCCAAGGAGAAGTACTGGAGGTACACCTGTTGCTTTTACTGGTATACAACATTGGGTCTAGAAATGAAATGTACTTTACACATCTTTTATACTTAAAAAATGTATTGCAAATGAAAATAAGTGACAAAATAATGTTATTTACCTGCATTCAGGCAATGCAATGATTGTGTGAGCTAATCGCTGAGGGTGCCCATTTAGGGGTCGGGTCGGATTGTTTGCCAGATTGAGGGTCCTTGTTGCACAAGCCGATTGCGCCCGACACATCTTAACCAAATGTCTAGACTTTGGAGAGATCCGAAGGAAATATTATAAATGCAAGAAATTGCAAGACATTTTTTCCGTCGTTGGTCCCAACAGAATTTTGAATCTTATGAAAGCCATTGGTCTTTATGGCAAATTCTAAAATTAAAATGAAACAATATTGTTTCAAATTTTTATTGTTATTTATAAGAGTTGTTTTAAATTGTAAACATATATTTATACCGAATTTTAATATTTTAGCATTTTGAAGTCAAATTGTTGACCAACCATGCAGTGGACTGTTGCGAATGCTACGAACTTTTGTTTCGCACGCTCATATGACCGTATGCAGTTGCGAGCGCCGTTAAACCCTATACTAAACAAACAAACAAGCCCGACTCGTCGCCCGGGTGCCCATTGCCAGTGGGATCGGGTTGGGTCGCAATGATTGCCGAACTCGTCACCTGAAAACAGACACGTTTGTTTTTGAGGCAATAAGTTGGGCGCGATCGGCTTGTGTCACGACAGCCGCTTTGTGCCCTCACAGTCTGGCTAGCAAACCGCCCTGACCCGATCCCCCAATGGGCACCCCGTGGGCATTCATCTCGACCTACCCGGATCCCATCCGAAATGGGCACCCCGTTAGCACAAATTTGTTGGCAAAAACAATCTTCTCTTTTATTCGATTGAACATTCCCTAAAAAAAACCAACAACCCACACTCATTCATATTCATTTCATAAACGTTCATTTGTATATATACAAATAAATAGACACGGGTGTTGTCCCACAAAACAAGAATATAAACGCAGTTGACAAAGGTAGTGGATATTTATATGGCAGGCCGTTGTAAAATCAGAAGTGATAATTCCACGGCACATGTTTTAGCCAATCAGAACACATTTAGATACAATTTATGATTATGTTTTTTTTATCTTTTGCAATCATTTTGTGCATTATGGACAATAGTGAAATGTTTTGTGTGATTGTAACAACACGAGTGAGAGATGCACAATTTTGTTTTCAATATGTTTTCTTTCAGTATAGTTTGGTGTTCTCATGAATAACGTTATTAAATTTCAGAACTCTATCAGGCACAATCTTTCCTTGAACAAGTGTTTCCAGAAAGTTCCACGATCAAAAGATGATCCTGGCAAGGTGAGGTATATTACAATTATGAATGCTGTCATGTGCATCTTCTATATTTTCATGTGTCAGAACAGTAAGGTTTTTTTGTGTGGTGATTTGCTTGGTGTTGTACGATTCTAAGCAATTCTCTGAGTCAAGTAAGCTTCACATGTAATTACTGATTTGTAGATGTAAAGTATAATTTTGGTTGAAACAGCATCCTGACAAAGAAGCGTATTATAAATTGTATCTTTATTCCTATTTCTTTTTTATAACAGTTTAGGTGCATGATGCGATGGTTGGAGTAATTGTCTTTCTGTCTGTCTGTCTCCCTTTTTCACTGTACAAAATGGCAGTCATTGTGTTGATGTGCTTCTCTATGGTATCTAGTTTTTAGGATTTAATTCTAGTTATATATCTGATGGCAAGACAAGTATTGGGAATGTCATATACTGAAGGTCTCAATTTTTTTGAAATCTAAGGGCTCATACTGGGCGATACAAACACCCCCACCTGATGATCCACTCCCTCCTACTCGGAGTAGGAAGAAACGGCCAAATGACAGGGTATGTTCTGGTTTGTCCACTTGTACTTTGATTATCTCTTCTTTGTCTTTCACTCCTTCTCCCCTTCTCTCTTTCTCTCACTCTCTCTCTCTCTCTCCCCCTCTCTCTCTTTTCCTCTCTCTCTCTCTCTCTCTTTGTCTCTCTCTCTTTGTGTCTCTCTCTCTCTCTCTCTCTCTCTCTCTCTCTGTTACTCTGATGCTCTCTGTCTCTCAGTCAATCTCTCTCTTTTATTTATTATTTTTTAAGCTTTTTCTCCTCTTGTTTTATGCCCAGTCCTTGTTCCTTCCCTTTTTTTGTTCCTTCATTCTTTCTCATTTTTCGTATCCATACCTTCCTATTGTTCCTAAGCTTCATGTTCATATATTTTATCTCATTTTCACGCCCTGATCCCACAGCCTGTATTTTTGCTGCTAGATTTCTACATTTTAAATATTACTTAGTAGTAGTGTGGAAGAAATAAGATTGAAAAGTAAGTATTGAGACTCTGAAGTTTCCCTAATCTTAAAAAAATACCCCTTGAAAATCCAGGTTGGTTGTGATGTCCCTTGTAGTAAGTTTATGTGACACAGGTCACTTGAAACTCTCTCTGCTATAGGTAAACCTCCAGTCCACGACCACCTCCCTGTACTGGAACCCCACTCAGAAAAAGGGGAAGAATTATAGGTACGCAGTTAGACACTTTCTTGAACATATGGACTGATAGCTTAAAAAGAGTGCCTGAGATAGACTGAAAAAGCTATATAACACCCCTCCCCGCCCATCCCAACCCAGAAAGTACAGTTTGGAAAAGGTATTATTTGTGAGGCATGCTTACAGAGTGAGTTACTCCTCAGATTTAACCCAAAAGGTATGTGAGGCGTGCTGAGAAAATGAGTTACTTCTTGCAATCCACAAATGGAGTTATTGGCCAAAAATCAACGCAAGGGTCGAATTTGTAGATTTTCCATTGATGCCTTATTTTTTTTTAACATGATGTGCCTTTTATTATTTCATGCTTATAAATTATAACAACTTCACCTGTAGGTGTGATGTATCTATTTCCACAGGGCTTGAATTCGAGAAGTAACTCATTTTGTCATCAGGCCCTTCACATTTAGATTCATCAGATTTAAAGGTTGAATTATTACTCTTTATTTTTATAAACTCACGTCTGTATAAAGACATGTTAAACTTATAGAAAATAGCATCTGTTGAAGACCTACAAATTTGATCCATGTGTTGATTTATGGCCCAGATCTCCTTTCACGGATTGCGAGAAGTATGTCATTTTGTCACCACGCCTCACACTTTGAAGTTATATGAGTTTCTAGCCTGAGAGGGCACATCCATTGAGACTACGAATTGTGACTTTGACTTTCGCTCTGTGCCATTGTTTCATTTTTATATAATCTTTTCCATATTTATTGATTTTTCTTACTCAGCATTCCCCTTACAGTCCAGACAGTGGCCTGAGCCCGATCCCTCAGGGCAGCCCCATGTTGACCAGTGTGGTGGCCATGCAAGCTGTGCAGATCAAGGCCGAGTCTTGTCACAGCCAGGTGAGTCTATGTCACGCATTGAATCCCAACCAAAGAGGTTATATATATAATACTAGAGCTCACAATGGTGACTTTACATGAATCAGACATGGGGGCCTTCTTACCCTCATTGGCATGGCTGACTTGCCCCCTTTTACTTGAACGAGCTAAGCCCTCATCCCCCCTCCCCACGAGATCTAGTATATTAAACACCACCCTGCCTCCTATATTTCAGTTCAAGCATATAGATTTCCTTCTAAAAATACCGCCGAGACGCCTCCATGTGAGTCTCTAAAAGTATACACCCGTCTGTTGGAACTGCACATGTCTTGTCCTTGGGGTTCAGTGTCCCAGAGCGGGCACACAAAGCTCCCCGTTCGTGTATGTGGGGGACATCACTGCATCGAACTCTAGTACTAAATATAGCCTCTTTGATCCCAACCCAAACTGAAAAAACTCTAGGAATTATAAAATAAAACTGCACTCCCTTTCCTCAGCCGGTGGTTGGTTGGTTGGTTGGTGATTATAAACTGTTGGCCTGTTGTTCAAATGTTTTAAGCCCAGAAAGCAAAATTTTTCTGGAAGGAGGAAAAAATGGTTTCCTTTTGAACATGATTGCATCTACCTTACATGTCTTTTATTACTCTTTCTCATCGTTTAGAATTTGAATTTCATGAAATATTTCTTGAGCACACGCATCTGATACAACAGATGAAGAAACTGCAATAGTAAGACAAAATAATAACATTTTGGCTTAGTTTATCCGAACAGTTGGCTGCTGATATTATGTTGTCTGTTCCTGCTTTGCCATGTTTCTTCTGTCATAATCTTGTTTCTCTTGAAATGTGGCCAGATTTTATGCTGACTTGAGGTAAATTTTATTTGAACAATAGCAACTCTTTTCCATGGGGGTCAAAGGTTACTTCTATCAGAATGAAGTTCAGCCTCTAGGATGGACAGTTTACTATTGTGATCTTGTCTGCAGTTGAAGAGAATGCTGCTGGCATTCTTTTTTCCTTTTCTTATGTACTTTCTATCTGCTCTCTTGCATTCTTTCAATGCTAAGCGGGTAATTAGAGGGTGACATTTATAGGTTCTTCTACTTCAATTTCCCTTTGTTGTTTCTCTCAGTCTGTCCTACTTTTTCCCCCAGCACTAAGTGACCATTATTGTGTGACTGTTCTTCTCTTTATTCAAACAAACAAATATCTCAAGTGAATGAAATTGTGCAGATAAACTTGCGAATGGTGTTATTACAAATTTTCTCTTTTTCAATTTCAATAATGAAAATGAATGAAAGATGGATTCAATGAATTTGTTTCTTCTCTGTAGATGTTCAAAACTTTTCTCTCATTTGTGGCTGTTTTGTGGTTGCTCTTGTATGGTCTTCTCCTTTTACTTTATTTGTGTGATTCCGTTTTTCTAACCAGTGTCCTGAAAAAAATATGGCCCTTGCTATGATCACTAACTTCAAAGTAAGACTCAATGTCAATATATTATGCTTACTGTTAACACTATCATTCATTGCATTTGAAAAATTCTTTTGACTTCCTCAGCCATCTCCTTTCAACCCGAACAGTATGGGTCTGAGCCCCATCCCAGCGCAGGCCCACTCCCCCCACCCATCCGTTGCCTCCTCCACCTCCCCCATCAGCTCCCCAGGAAGTGCCAGCATCATCAACAACAACAACAATGTCACCACCATCAACAACAACCCAACCTTGTTCCCTCAGGTCTCCTCGAATCATGACACAAAGGCAGGCGTTGCGGATAACGTAAGTTAAGCCAAAGTTCTTACTTTAGTAAATAGATCCTTCTCTGTTTGGGGTAGGAAATGAAAACATCTTTAATCATTATGGGCTGTATCTGTATTAATGTCGGAGGTGTTGATTTTTTCAGGTAAATGCGGGAATTGGGATTTCTGAAACAGACTGGATTTTTTTCTGATTTCTTGACACAAGATGTGTAAGACATACAATCAATTTTGAGGTCCCCCCATTGTCAAGGAGAAAAGTGGACAGTGTCATTATAATATAGGAAAAATGGAAGTGGGAAGTGGTTGTCTGTGCAGTTGATTGTCTTGGAAAGGAGGTCATAAGAGGTGGCTCAACAGTATTTTAAAGAAATAATGTCATGTCTTCACCATTTTATTCAATTAGAATATAAAAAAATAAAATGTTCAGTGTGATTTCCACTGTTATTTGCGCGGCAAAGATCGTTGTTTCCATTCTGTTCACCTGAAGCCAATGCAATGCCTCCATAATTCGATCAGTCATAGTTTATGAGATTTCCTGATGTGCCTAGACTTTAAGAACTGTATGATTGTTCATCAGATTGTATAAAATATTATTTTTAGAGAGTGAACCATCAGGCAGTGGATAGTCTCCGGATTAGCAAAGCTGTGCTGTACTGTACATTTTTGTCATTTTCTCATCCTTTTGTTTTGAGTATTTGTTGGTCTGTCTTTTTCCTTTGCGTTTCCTCATTGGACCTCAGAAGTTATCAACTAAAGGATCTTCAAACTAAAAATGTACTGCTTTTAATGTTTGGCCTATTTTTCGAATAGATAGTTGTGTGACATCACCGTGGATGGTTGTTTCGGGGGTGGAGTGTGCATGGAGATCGCTGATCAGGCTGATCTAGAAAGTAGTGTACATTGCCCCTCAGTCACCTGTATGCTGTTTTGCTAGGTAGTTATATTTGTACATCCCAGTTTCTTCAGTTTGAGTTGGGATTCAAGTAGAATTTTACTCTGACTGCTGTAATTTCTGTAGAGAAGATTTCTTTGTTAAAAAGAAAAAGAGCATAAAACATGTGCAGCCTATCATTGTATCTATAATAGTTTCTGTAATATAATAGTATCTATAAATAGCCTGTTTTATTCCAAGGAAATGCTATTGCAAAAGGTGAAAGTTGATGCCTGGCATTAGTGACTGATGTTTCTTCTGTTTCCTTTTTTTTCCTTAGTCAGTACTATCAAAAAGATGCCATCTGATTAGTTAAAAGTTGGAAATATGATGTGTTAGCTATAGTCAACATGGGCACAAGGTTATGATAAAGTCAGTTTTGTAGATGCTAAACTGTGGATTGTTACTTTTTATTGTTGTGATTCACTTTGTCTGATAATGAAACCTAAAATTCTTCATGTGAACGATAGGAGTTTCAGGATAGTTATCAAACTGGCCTTGAGAACAATTTAATGAAATCATATACACTGCCAGCGATGATTAAAGTAAAAACGGTTTCATGTATAATGACGTTTCTTTTCTCTGCAGACGGTGCCAGCATCCAGCAATGGATTCTTGGACCCCCAAAACAATACGGACGAGCTGAACAGCTCCACCTACAACCTTTACAAGACGATATTTGAGTCCTCTTCAGGTAAGCCCTTTACTTTCAAGCCTACCTCTTTAACCCTATCCGTACGTCGCGTTTTACTGCCGTGTTCCTACGTCGTGGGGAACTCTGTTCCACCACTTTCCAAAGAGGAAATTTACTCGTTTATCCGATCTGTACGTTTTTCATAGCAGTCTGTCAAAATGATGTTTTGAGAAATACTGAAAGTGTCAAAGAGATCTTCGCTCTAGAAGTATTCTAAAATGTGAAGAATACAACCCGGGGGTACAAAATGACCCCAGGGCGTACTGATAGGGTTAAACATGCAATTTAAAATCATGTTTCTGCATAATTTTTTTTTGTGTTTGTGAAAATGCGACCCGACTTTTTAAGTTAACAGTTTTGAGTCAAACTGATCGAGAAAACGTCACCCAGACATAGAATTTATTTATCTTTGACTTCCAGGTCAAACTAAAGGCTCATACTTTTTTATGTTCGGTCTGTACCATAATATACTTAATAACTGCGCTTTAGATGGTGGTACCATCCAGCTATGGTTACGGACCTCAACTACCGCACGCTGCCACTGTCCAGATGTGGTTAAAGAGTTCATTAACCCTGCTGATATAAATGGGGTCACTCACAAGACCCCCACTTTTCCTTCTAAATTGTCGAAGACGACTACTTACTGACAAGTAGAAAAGTGGTTGTCTTAGACACGTAGGTGTCTTGGGAAGTGTCGTTGTAAAATTTTTAAAAAGAAAGGGGGGAGGAGTGGTCGTTTTTACAGGTGATTGTCTTGGACAGGTGGCCATTAGAGTAGGTTCGAATGTATTTGGACGCTAGAGACTGACACTAGTAGGAAGGCACTGATGGCAGTTCAAAAGAGTGGTGTGAAATAGGTCAATTTGTGGACTGATAGTGCGGCTGAGAAGAAGTTTATCAGGAAATGAAGATATTGATTCACTTTAGAGGGTACTTTTAATCCAGCCTTTTCCAGTGTAGCAAAGTTTCAGTGAATACCTGTCACTAAAATCCTGTTTTCTTGAGTGTCTTGGCTCTGGGTTTAAAACGTTCTTAAACGACTAATGTGCTTTCCATCTGAAGAATAGCTTGCGTAGGTCACCACCACCTGTAGAACTTTTCACACAGTGATACCAGTTTGTGTAGATCGTTGCTCTTAATGTCATGGGAGTGAATGGATTTTATTTGATCTTTTAATCTGGAGCAAAATACAGTCGAATCTACTCCTAGTGGTCTTCTCTACATAGCGGTCACCTGTACTGTCAGCTAATGTTCAGTCCTGTATTGTATTTTAACAGGTCCATGGTTGTTCCTGATTAGTACTGCCATGATTGGAATTGGTAACTTTTTTGGGGGGAAAGTCGGGTCTCAAAACCAAAACCTGCTCATAGCGGTCACTTGCTACAAAGTTTCCCACCAACATGTGATCAGACAGAATGGATAAAAGCTCTAATAATAATAAATAACAACTATGATTGGAATACACTAGGAAGATGAAATTCAGATTTAAGATTCAAACCATATGTTGACTTTAACAAGTCTAGTAAGTGACCATTACTGAGAGCATGCCCACAGAGGCCACCCGTCTCCCAGTTTTGCCTTTTCCCTGCACTTATTTACAGTTATTGGGTCGATATGTTTATCTTTACTGGAAACAGACTAAAACTGCCTCACTTTTTCACAGCAACAAATAACTGTACCAATCCATCCTTCCATCCATCCATCCATACATCCCACCACCCATCCCACCACCCAACCACTCTTCCATCAGACCACCCGTCCATCCACCCATCCGTCCATCCTTCCATTCCTCCATTCCTCCATCCATCCATCCATCCATCCGACCATCCATCCATCCATCCATCCATCCATCCATCCATCCATCCATCCATCCATCCATCCATCAATCAATCAAACCACCCGTCCATCCACCAATCCGTCCACCCATCCATCCATCCATCCATCCATCCTTCATTCCCTCCATCCATCCATCTATCCATCCAACCGACCATCCCACCACCCATCCGTCCACCCATCCATCCATCCATCCATCCGTCCATCCAACCAATCATCCATCCGCCCATCCTACCAATCATCCATCCAACCAACTACCCATCCATCCTGTCAATCATCCATCCTCCCATTCATCCACACACATATCATAATGTAAAAAGTATTGTATACAATTATGATAACAATAACCCGGGTGACCCAGATCATATTGACCTACCCGGATCTATCCATCGCGGTTATCACTTATCTGATACATGACACGTTCTGACCTCTTGTGAGTCAAGCGGGTGGTTGGCGGGTGCTCTGGTGTGATTTACTCCTTTGTTTCCTATCTTACATCTGTCCTCATTATCTCTCCTTATTTCTGTTTTTGTTTTTTGTTGTTGGTATTTTTGTTACTCTCCTGTGACACCTCTAATCTTCGGCACTTATGTGCCCTTATTGTCTCGCGCAAGTGCCCTAAAACTCGTATTAAAACTAAACAGAACTTTGGGTGTTCAGAGTTGGGGGGGGA